TTTGCATCAACCTGCAAAGCCGAAAAATGTATATGCATTTGTGAAAAATTTGAAAAATGTTGTAAATCGAGGATGCTTTCACAAATAATGTCGTAAATAAATGATGGATTTTTATTAAATAATGTCATGAATACATTTTTTTATTATTATTTTAGATTTTATTATTTAGATTTTCAGGTAGATTTCTCGAAGTGTATTGAAAATGTTGCCACAGGATTACTCCTTGTGCATACAAAAATCCATCCATCCATCCATCTCACTTGTCCTAGGGCTGTACGAATACTGGAGCCTACAGATGGCCAGTCCATCACAGGGATAATCTCTCTGGACTATTACAATTAATGGTAAAAGTCAATGTTAACTGATATTTCTTACTGGCACAATAAAACGAAATATAAATATAAATAAAACATATATAAATAATGGTCTTGAAATTTGGGTGAAGAATCTAATGTGCCTTTTGCACAGTACAATTCTGTATATTAACAACATTTACTGTAATGGTATTTTCAGTGTAACTAATTGTCTTACACTTATATAGTGTAAAGATTAATTAAATGATTTGACATTACCTTATAAAGCACACGTTGTCCCTTATTTGGTTTTGTCACTGCCACTCTCCAACTCACTCCTGATGATTCACTAAGCTTTTTCACCTATTCTTTTAAAACAAATTTCTTTCACAAATCTCTGTCAACGCAATTCTTAGTGATGCCTCAAAACTTGTGTGGTCCAGGTGTGAATCGCCTTGTGTAGTGCACAAACGATAGGTGCAGAAGTGATATTTATACCCAGGAGGCAACCAGTTCTGTAAAAGTAAAAAGAAGTCACCGCTCACCGGACAGAAAATCGCCCATTAGCATTATAACTGAGATGGCCCAACGTTTAGACACATAACAGTAAACCAAGTTTATAAAAAAAAAATAATAATAATAATAATAATAATTATATATATATATATATATATTCATTGAACGAGCCATATAACATAAACTCTGCAATGGATATTAATATCCAAAATATAGTGAAAACACTATTTAGTAGCACAGCAACAAGATCAGCAGTTTAAGACATTAACTTGTAAGCACAAAACACAAGATACTTCTCTTTTCAATATAAATAAGACTTTATTGGATAAATCTAAGACATACAAACTAATCTAACAAACATATGCACTCATACATTCACACAAGTTGCAGAAAGAGAGAAAGTCAGGAAAGAATGAGTTTAGGAGAGTAAAAATATGAAATCCCAAGTTTATAGCAATATGTGCAATGTGCTTAGACCTGAACAACCATCAATCATTTAGTTAAAGGAACACTCCACTATTTTTGAAAATATGCTCATTTTCCAACTCCCCTAGAGTTAAACAGTTGAGTTTTACTGTTTTCGAATCCATTCAGCCGTTCTGGCGGTAGCACTTTTAGCTGCCCTTAGCATAGATCATTGAATCTGATTAGACCGTTAGCATCTCGCTCAAAAATGACCAAAGAGTTTCGATATTTTTCCTATTTAAAACTTGACTCTTCTGTAGTTACATCGTGTACTAAAACCAACGGAAAATGAAAAGTTGCGATTTTCTAGGCCGATATGGCTAGGAACTATACTCTCATTCTGGCATAATAATCAAGGAACTTTGCTGCCGTACCATGGGTGCAGCAGGCGCAATGATATTACACAGTGCCTGAAAATAGTCCCCAGCTAGCTAAGTAACTTCCAACGTGACACTTCTAGTCTGTGTAGTCGCAGAGTTGCAGCCGGCAAATTTTCATCTATCTTTTCTAACTTAATTCAAATTTTTACCTTCAGATGTAACGTTACGGCTTGGTCTTCTCCACAGCCTAAACATGCGTACTCTCCTGAGAGCGAACGAAATTAATAAGATAAAGATAAAAGTTAAAATGAAAACTATAATGATAATTTTAAAAACTCACATTGAGACCTACAAATACTTCTAATAATAAAATGTTATTGAAAATAACTGTTTACCGTTTGTCAGCGACGGATCCATCAACGACCTTGTCCAAACATCTTCTCAGGTGACGTAACAGGGTTGACCAATGAAATCAAGCCAGAGACTTGAGTCATGGCTGCGGGGTGGGGTTTTCGCGTTGGGGGCGTGGTTTGCGCTCAACTGGTTTGGGGGGAAAAAATCACGCACTGGTAACGCGAGACATGAGAGTTAGAGGTCAGTGTTGTGTTTTGAATTTTTTTTACAGGAGCAAGCACTAAGTTTACTTGTCGGAGAGCAGCGGGCAAACAACAAACGATAA